GCACAGGTGTTTAGACACAACTGCATTTCTGTAATCAATGTTAAGTCTCCATAAAGTTAAGACTACGAGAATTAGTAACAGGTGAAATTTCCAAGACATGAAGATGGCTAAGACACTGAGAGCAGTCCACCACTAAATAAACAGCTATTGTAAAAGCACACTGCTCGTGAAGGCGCTTTGGCCAGAGCAAGAGAAGGTGGCATGTCCTCCCCGAGAAGACCTTCTCATTTAGCAGGGCACACAAACAGGTAACTACCGCATAAGCACTACTCTGCTAAGAATCACTAGATAAGTCAAATGTTGGGATTCATTTAGGAGTTGTTCCACAGAGGTAGTGCTGTGCAAATAAACAAGATTATCTACCACCACCATGCAAACTGACATCAAAGAAGTGGCCTCTATTACATTTCCTGGGCTTATAGAGGTTTATCGGCATAAGTAGAAGAGAAGATTGCTGACATGACCTAGGCCAACTTGGCAGAGGCTGCTCAAGGATGGAGACCTTGCAAACAGCAGTCTTCAATAAATGTACTCAAGGCAGTTTATACCAGTGCTGACAATAGAAACAATGTGAACATATATGCAGGACCCTGTCCCCAACTCTGGCTGGAGTGTAGAAAAGAAGAAAGGGGGAAGAAAGAGCAAAGAAAGGCAGACTTCAAAGAGGAAAAGGAAGTGGCAGGAGGGAACTAGATTGGAAGAAGAATGAGAAGCAAGCCTGGAAACGCTTCCTCCCCAGGATCCCAGTGTGCTTAGAAAGTTCTAGAACTCACAGCTCCCACAGCACACATATGTGTGGGTCTAGGAATCTGTGTCAATGGCCTAGTGAGTATCTTGGTCAGATCCATCCTTGTCAAGTCTGAAGGGCATTCAGCCTACTACAAATTCGCAAGCAGATAGATTATATATCTGAGCCACGGCCTCTTTAAACAGGTCAAAGAGTCTATAAACACATGTGGTTTATTTCATTTGGGCCCTGCTGAAACCCGCATCTATTTATGCACATTTGGTGAGTTAGCAGCCGCCAGAGAGCAATGAGGGGACGGCTGCAGACATCCAATTTCTTGACAGACTCACTACACAATCCGACTTGCCTCACTAAGCCAAAGACAGGAAAGGAGGAGGGAAAAAACTGAACCAAAAAAGAGAGAGAAAAACAAACAATAATTTACCTTAATAGTTTCTTTCATCTCCTTAGTTTTGCAGCCTGTCTATACTTCAATAGCTCTAAAAATAGCATTTATATTGCACCTTCTTAATAAGGACCACTATATTTTAGCCTTATTACTTCATCCACTTAAGGGATAAAAACAAAAAGGAAATGACTCACTTAAGGTCTTTTAGCAGAGGGGGATCTTTCAACAGCTAATAACTCCACAGAAGTATAACTATGCAAGTTTTGTTCACATCCATGAGGTAGATTATCATCCTTAAACTTTTTGATTTTGTTTTTTCGAGACAGCGTTTCTCTTTGTAGCTTTGGCCATCCTGGATTGACTTTGTAGACCAGGCTGGCCTCAATCCGGCTGCTTCTGCCTCCTTGAGTGCTGGAATTAAAGGCATGTGCTACCACTCCCGCTTAAACTTCTTTAAAATTACATTTATTTACTTATTTTTGAGTGCATACTAGGGTGGTGGGTGTTCCAAAGATTTCTTCTATTGTTCCTCTATGTGAGTCCTAGAAAATAAAATTTAGGTAGTCAGGCTTGGTGGCTAGCACCTTTCCCTGTTGGCCTGTGTCCTTAAAGTGCTAGAAGCATTTGCTATCATTTCATGGGAGGAATTAGCCATCCGTCAATCTGCAGCTCTTGTGAGTGCTTCCTAAGGAATGCCTGTATATCACCTCATGCTCCCAACTCAGTATGATACATAATGCAGCTTGTATTCTCTCCAGTGAAATCCACCAGACCAGGCATGAACACGATGAACTCTAAAGATTCCCAAAATGGATCACTGCTGTTCTATCTCACTCATAATAAAGTTGATGGTTACAAAGAAATTTAGAAAGCAGGTCCATAAACCTGGCCCAGCACTGGGCCAGTATAAAGCCGTGAAAGCCGCATGGCAATTAAATTATTCACTATCAGCAACTATAAATTCACTGTCTCTATCAAGAGTTCATTTACCACCTTGCCGAGGACAGTGCTACAAACCCATAATTCCAGCACTTGGAAAATATCTAGGAATTCAAGGCCAACTTCAGCTACAAAGTTCCAGGCCATCCTGGGCTACATGAGACCCTAGAAGAAGATAGGGAATTGGAGAAAAGGAGAGTATGTTAAGAAGAGAGAGGGAGATGAGTAAGAAGAGGGAGGAAAGAAAGGAGAGAGAGGAAGAGTACTTGTACTATAATAAACTATAGGTGTATCTCCACTTTTGGTATTTCACAACAAATGCAAAGTGCTTCTCAAAGTAATACTTTAAAATGTGTAGGTATGTTGATTATAAATGAAACCAATCATAATGAAAAACAGGTATCAGCAATTTGGAAAAACTGTAGCTACAGAGTTTATAAATGACTCAAGTAACATGACATATGCATCTACACAGTAAATCAGATCTAGCAATTCAAGTCTAGTCACTACAATTTTGTTGTTGTTTTGGTTTGGTGGTGGTGGTGGTGGTGTTTGGTTGGGTTTTTTTGAGACAGGGTTTTTCTGTGTGGCTCTGGCTGTTCTGGAACTCACTTTGTAAAACAAGCTAGCCTCAAACTCACAGAGATGCACCTGTCTGTGCTTCCCAAGTACTAGAATTAAAGGTGTGTGCCACCATGCCTACCACATTTATTATTATTACATTTCTAAGAATCCTACATTAAATCCCAACTTATGTCTTCACTGGGTGACATCTTAACAGCAAATATTACCACACAAAGTGTAAACCACCTGCCAGAGCTTCATAGATGCTAACTAACTAAGCATGTACTCTACCACTGAGGTGCACCCCAGCACTCAAACCAAAACTTCTTTTAGTTATAAGCTTGGGAAACCAGTAAATGTGGGCCAAAGTCTTTCTTTAGTCATATACCAGAAGGCCAGGCCTGGAGTTAGTTACACTGTATTTCTTCCAACTCTTTTGAAAAATGAAGACATTTTGGCTGTTTTACGTGAATGTTTCCATATGAAGCACTGGTCACAATGAAAGCAGATACATTGTTTATCTTTAAGAAGATGGAGCATGTATGAAGACAGTTTGCCAATATAGAGCAAGATGGCTCAGCCAAAGGCACCTGACCATACAATCCTGACAACATGAATTCAATTTCCAGAACCCATGTAAAGGCAGGAGAGAAGTGACTCTACAAAACCGTCCTCTGACCTCCACATGCCCTTTGTGGTGCATATGCTCATTCACAATAATACATAAACAGCAATTTTTTTAAAGACAGTTTGTCAAAATAACCCACTCTAACAGTTTCCCAAACTATTATAACCAACAACTTGATGGTGAAAAAGAAAAATTCCTCAGTACCTGAAATGACAGAATCCCTTTGAAAACACGAACACACACACACACCAGAAACTACCAGAAGGTTTTTTTGCCCCTAATTTTCAATAAGTCCAGTTCCGCACAGTTGCGCATTGGCCAGCAGACGTAAAACTACCTCCGTATTTATTTTATACTACTATACTTCCATTTTAAAACGTTTACCTCAACTCCCTGGATAACATCATCCGCAGAAACCATGAGGCTATCCAACAGACTTTCAGTATCACCATTTATTATTTATAGCATTAAATGGGGGAAGTGGCTCTGATGTCACCAACCCTACCCAGTGGAATCACTGACTCAATAAGTACTTCACACTGGAGGAAAACGCTTTGCGAAGTTCAGTAGATCTTTCACCTTTCCTCGATACTGTGGAGCAGATACTGGTTGTTACTGTATTAGCACAGATACAAAGAAACTGTCAAGGTTTTCACAGGAAGAAGCCCTTTGTATGTCCATTTGCAGAAGTTGATTTCCTCCCAACTCTCCTGGGCCCAGTTAGATTTGCCTCACGTTCACATTGGCAGGTGATACCAGCCATATTTTATTTCTTCCACCAATAAGCAAATTCTTCACTTTCCCAGCCACTCACTCATGGTCCTGATTCCAAAAACCCTAGCACCAAATCTGAGGTCAGAAACGTGTCAGGAGTGCCCGGGGAGACCTGACCAGCCTGTCTACTAATGGTTTCTTAACAGTAAAGGGATTGCTACTTCTCCGTGGGTCAAGAATTCCCCCCACCTTTTATTATTATTATTTAAAGAGCGGTGGCAGTGATGAGGGCGACCTCCTCCCCCTCCCCTCTCATTTCCCAGATGATAAAGTTATGGTTTCCCTTTCCTGGGGGATGGAATTCAGAGTACCTAGGGCCTTGCTATACAAACATCCTTCAGGGCAGGGTAGGAAACCCTTTGTCCAAGAAGCCTGACACCACAGGAGCCCGGAAAAGAGGGCCCTTATCCCGCACAGCCTTAGACTGGAGGGCACCCCCAACATCCCAGCCCTGAGGGGCCTATCCGGGCATCCACACAGCAGTAGCTTGGGGAGAGGGTTCTGAGACCCAGCCCCACCCCCACCCGCCCCCACCCGCGCCTAGGTTACGGAGGCCGAAGCGGCCCCAACTGGTCTCGGACTCCCACCACCAACACCCTCGGCTCGAGCGCAGCCGGGAAGCGCGATGGGGTCCTGGCCCGAGGAATTGAGGGAAGGGAAATAAGATTCCCTTCTAAAAAAGAGAGTGCGATGGCAAGGCGAGAGTGAGCAGAGGCTCCGGGAGGAGCGAGGCAGGGGCACCCAGACTGGCCGGAGCCCGGCGAAGGCAGGGGGGAGGGGGGTGGCGGGGAGCGGAGGCCGGGCCGGCCCAAGAGCGCGAGGCGTCAGCAACGAGCCATAGCAGGGGGCCGGCCGGGCTCGGGCGGCGGGGAGCGAGGGCCGGCCTGGCGCGGACGCCGAGGTGGGCAGGCCCCCAGGCCGCCGGCCGGAAGAACGGAGAGCCAGCGGGCCGCACTCACCATAAGCTCGATGGTCTTGTCTTCAATCACCGAGTCGGGCTCCATGGCGGCCCCGGCGGCCCCGCCTCGCTCTCCCCGCACAGCAGCGAACGGCCCGGGCGGAGGAGGCGGTGGCAGCGGCGGCGGTGGAGGCAGCTCTCGCACCCACTCTAGCTGCCAGCCCGCCCGGGCCGCCGGCAGCTCCGCCCTCCCCCTCAGCGGACGCAGGACGTACAGCGGGAACTACTACTCCCGGCAGCCGCCGCGACCCGCGCGGCCTTGTGGGAGAAAGAAGCTGCCCGGCCCACTACGCCAAGGGCCCGCCCCTGAACGCTGCGCCCAGGGGAGCGCAGGGCTGGGAGTGGAAGTTGCAGACCTGGAGAACCTAGGGCTTACTCGGGGTAGGGCTCGCCAGCGCCACAACTACTTGTCCCAGAAATCCCCGCGCGCGAGGTGTTTTTCCGGCTGGTCGTTCCTGACTTCCTGGCAGCCTGGGGCTGCCCGGACCCGGACGGAAACTCCGAGGCAACTCCTCACTTGTCTGAGATCTTTGCGGTGCGACTGATTTCCGCACATGCGCAGTGGATGTCTGCGGAGCCCACTCCGTGTGTATTGCGTTTGGTAGGGACAAGTGGTTGAGACGGGTGAGTCTCAGGTGCACTTGGAAATGTGGAAGGGAGCCCGCGAGCCCAAGGACAGAGCCGAGGGAAGATGGACATCCCAAGAGGAAGACTTTGGAGACTGAGTTGGGAAGCAGGTGTATGGAGATCAGTGTAGCATCTCTGGGAGGAGCTGAGCCATGAGAAGCTGTTTATTCTGAAGACATTTATTTTTAAGCATTCAATTTCTACTAAGTACTAACCTAAGCACGGGGAGTCAACTTCGAACATGACAGGTGAGATCCCTGTTCTCGTGACTCGTAATTCTAAAGGAAAGACAGCAGACATTAAGAATTGGAGATACTATGAAGATAAACATCTAGAGACTTCCAGTGAACTATGCCTGTAACTCTGTGACCTTCAAGTCTGTCAGTACCGTCGAACCAAAATTCCCCAGGAACACGCTGGTAGTTGGTCAAGGTGGGTTTATTTCTAGCTGAAGCAGAAGAGAACATGATCATGATGAATCATAGACGTCTCAGTAAAGAGACCATAGATAATGTAGAAAAGGATTTGAAGAGGCTGTGGAGCGGGTACTGTCAGGAAGTGGGGTGATAAGATTGGACACCTCAGTCTTATCAATGGAAAGTTGTATCAGATTGAAACTAATGTATGAATTGATGACGGCCCCTCGTGTTAGTCAGATTCAAGTGTTTTGTCTTGTAGCTGTGTGTGTGTGGCTTGGACAATGTTCATGTTTTATCTGTGTTCACAAATGATTATGGAATGGTCTTGTTTTTGTCTTGATCCATAAGATAAGACCGCAGAATGGCTTTGTCTAATGTTGATAGTCTGTGCATTGTTTGTGTTTTAGAGGCCTGGCTGTAAGGCTCTGACTATTATCAAATATCTCGAGGGCCTGGCTGATTGTTCCAGGCCCGCTTCCCAATGGCAGAGACTGTTTTCCTGCTTCTCAGGTGTTCTTCAAGTCTCTGCCCCAGTGAAGTAGATGACTTAGAACCCTTTCCATTTCCAAAGAGCAAGGTATACAATCTGTACACATCCAAATTGCAGTATAAATTCCCTGCAGTTAGAGTTTGGAATTTTATAATGCTTATCTGGTGACTATCACCAAGAGATTGAAAGAAAGGCCCAGAATTAGAGTTACTGCCATTACCTTGCTGTCTGGATTTCACCAGACTCTCTTCCCTGGCTGGACTTGGGGCAGTGAGTAGTGTAAGGAGAAGGTTATGTTAAACCTCTGCTTCAGTTACCTCTTGCAACATAACAAACCGTTCCAAGGCTTGGTAGCTTAGGATAACAATGGTTTAGTTTGGTTTTATTTTTTTACAATTGTGTAAGTAAACCAAGCTCATCTGGACCAATGTGATATAAGCTGAGATTACACACGGGGCTATAATCAGCTGGGAACACATTCAGAATTTCTCAGCCCCTGGTGCCTCTCTTTTCCACTGGCTACTTACCAAGCCTCTGAGAATGGTTCAAAAAAAGGACAAGACCCTTCAACAGATGCCTGTCAAGCTCTAATTGCCCTACAAGTCATATGTCCAAGCCTATAGTAAGTGTGGAAAGTTCTGTGAGTACCAAAAGACTAGTCCATTGGAGTTCACCAATGTAACAGCCAGCTAAGACCTTGAATCCCAGAGCCTATCGTACAGTATAGAATGTAGGGGGGTCACATGATGAGTATGAACCTCCCATGTGTTTATTTAGCCTACACCGCCATCATCATTGTTTTAAAAATTGTTATACACATGGTGTGGTGGCACACGCCTTTAATCCCAGCACTCAGGAGGCAGAGGCGAGTAGATCTCTGACTTCTGGGCCACCCTCATGTGTCCTCATGAGTTCCAGGACAACCAGGGCTGCTACACAGAGAAATCCTGTCTCAAAAAAACATAACAAACAAAATAGCATATCCCTAACCTGAAGGCCCTGGGTTCAACCCATAGCACTGCCAAAATGAATCCGTGAAAAGGTTCACATTTTAAGGTGAATAGAGAGATGTCCTCATTGACTAAGGGTGTTGTCTGCTCTTGCAGGCCTGAGTTCAGTTCCCAGCACCTACACTGGGGGTTCACAACTGCCCTGAACTCCAGTTCTGGGAGAACTGATGCCCTCCTCTAGCCCTGCAGGCACCTCCATGCCTGTGCACATACCTCAGACAATAAATCTTAACTTCACATGTAAATCTGTGTTTTAACTTCTCTTGAAAAAATAGATTATCTCACTTTTAGATCCATACAACAGTAGTGTACAGAGGTTAAATGTCAGCTGCCTTCCTTTGGGAAGGTGTTTCTTATGGGTAATATTCCATTGCTATTACTTCTTGTAGTCTGTTATCTGTGTCATGTGCCATTTTGCTGCTGTATTAGAATATGTGAGAAGAAATGACTTACAAAGAAAAGAAACTAAAGCTGAGCGGTGGTGGCGCACACCTTTAATCCCAGCACTCTGGAGGCAGAGGCAGAGTCAGTTGCTGTGAAAAACCATCTTAAAAAAAAAGAAAGAAAGAAAAGATACTGATTTAGTTCATGGCAAGAGCATGGTGCCAGCATCTGCTTGGCATTGGTGAGGGCCTTCTAAGGGCTTAAGGCAGGCAGTGGTCATCACATGGCAAGACAAAGCAAGCTAACCAAAGAAAGCTCCTTTCCATAGCCAAGCAACTCCCTTATTAGCCCATTAATCTATGAAGGGGTTAAATAATTTATGAGAATAAAAGCCCTCACGACCCAAATACCTCTTAACCCTCACAATGGGGATTCCATTTCACCCAGTGCTTTGGTGGGACATTTTCATCATAGCAATCTGCATACTTCTCATTTGAATGCTAAATTCCTTTAGATACGAGTTTGCAACCCCTGGCATCAGAAAATATGAAAGTTTCAGTCCTTTAATTAAAATCATATATGCCTCTTGAAAAAAAAAAAAAAGAAAGAAAACTAACATTATTGGCTTGAATTCCAAAAGCTCAAAGAGATTAAAAATTCATGTTTTTGACAGAAGTCTTATATAAGCTGAGCCAAGGCTCACCTCCTTGCTCTGACTCCTTGCTCTGACCTTTTTGACAATAACCTGGGTATGCAGGTATCCTTATCGCTTCAGGCTTGATGCCATTTGGTCATCAGATCTAATCATAGACAAAGGCAGAAAGTCTTCAGGCAGTTTCAGAGCGTCATCTCTGGGCCAAGGTCCGCAAGGCATGCTGACAATGAAGATGCTGGTGCAGATCCACGGCCCTCAGCATTGGCACTGCGGCCCCATAGACACCTGAAGTGCATAGCTCACACTACCAAGGCAGAAGGTGCACCTATCACACAGTGTAAGGTTAACCACCAAGGGGTCTAGCGTCACATTCCGGAGTCAAACATTCGTTTATCTGCAGTAACCTGTATGGGTGCCTGTTGGCAGTCAGCTCCAAGCCCACCCTTCCTTGCCATCCTTTGAAATGCTGGAGGACCTGCTCTCTGCTTTACCTCTTCAGCGGAGAGCATGAGCACAGCAGAATGAAGGGGCTCCTGCCCCTGCCTCTGGTGTACCTTTTCTCCTTTTTGCTTTGGTGACCCAAGCAGCAAATGTCCTATAGACTGTCTCTCGTGTGTTCATTCCAGCCCACTCTGTGTGTGCATGCATGTGTATGTGTCTGTCTGTCTGACGTGTGTTCTCTCTCCCTTTGTGTGTGTGACTGTCACATATGTTTGACTGTCCCACGTGTTTGTTTTCTCTTTCTCTCTCCCTCCTTACCTTTCTCCTCCTCCCCCCTTTCTCAATATCAATGCCACTCTTAGCTGAAATGATTAGCTCAGTGGCTCCTCGGTAAGTTACCAGCTCTCCAGCCCCAACTTGTATTCCTTCAGCAGATTTTAACTGAACTTGCCCGACTCCTGAATTCCTGACCCTTAGAGACTATATGCGCTCATAGTTGTTATTTCCAAGCTGTTCCGAAGCCGATGTTACATGAGTACAGGTAGCTGCGGGGCGAGCAGGCCAGCTCATCTAAAGCAGTAACCTCCCTGAGATCACTTTCAATCGAAATAACACAAAGTCTTGATAGAATTTATGTCTTTCTCTTTTTTGTGTATTTTTGTTCATCTTTCATGTGTATTATAGTCACGTGTACAGGTGTGCATGCACACACAGAGGCCAGGGGAAGATGTCAGGTGTTTTCCTCTCTTGCTCTCCCTTAGTTTTAGGGAGACTTAAACTCAGGTCCTCTCACTTTACGTAGCAAGCACTCTTACCCACTGAGCCATCCTCCCAGCCCTGTTCCTTTCCTGTGACTCCTATGGAAGGTGTTCATAGGAAGGCATTTTAAAATAGTGTATTTTGATCCATGGTGAATTTTCTAAATTCCAATAAAAAGTGATCATACAGAATAAGATTTTGATTCGGTTCATTTCCAACTAATATCTTTTGAGACCATTAGCAAAGAGTATCGGTAAGACAGATTAAAAGATTAATACTCTTATTTTACCCATATGATAAGATTGTGTATCTTTATCCATTTATCTACAGAATTCAGGAAAAAGAAAGATAACAGTGACAAAGATAGTACCTAATCTGGCTGACTAGTAAGTTAT